GCTGGGAGGGGGGGGGGGGGGAGGAAGAAGAGGGGCATTAACACGGCAGTGGGAGACTGCTCTGGACTATCTGCACCCCATAGGCCTAGGCCCCTGGCTGGAGTGCAGCCATTGCTGCAGAGAACAGGAGCAGGACGCCTGGGTTCCCTTGCCAGGCTGTACAAGGCAGCAGCCTGGGCCTGGTTCCTTTGAGCAGAACAGGCAGCCACACACTAGAGACTGTACAAGGGCAGTCAGCTTCTGCCCCCGCCCGGCCTGCTGGGAGGAGCTGGGGGCTCCCAGGGCCCAGGCACGCGGCTGTTTGCCCCATGCATGGCAGGGCCTGGCCACCCCAGTCTGGAACGAAGTTCTCCCCCTTGCCTGCGTGGCAGGCCGGGCCAGTAGGGAGCAGCTTGGACTGGGCTGTGGTGGGGACAGGTCCCAGTCTCACCCCCCCGCTGTACTGAGCCAGGCAGAGCTGCTGCAAGGGGGATCCCCATCTTCCCCCCCACAAACAGCACACCAGGGTCTCCGTGCCAACAGGAGGCCGTGACCGAGAGCCCGACATGGCAGATGAATTAGTGTCTCTGGGAGATGCAGGAAGCAGCTACAGCAAGTGCACGGTTGCCATAACAACCCTGGTTCTGCCCCCCTCAGCGGGGGGCCATCACATGCCAAGTGGCTCCAGTGAATGGCTGAAGCGTGACGGGGCACTGCTGGGACTGAGGTGGCTTTGTCACGGGCTGAGGACTCTGGGGGTCCCAGGCCACAGCGCTTGGCTTGGCAAGGAGCAGAGAACAGCCCCCCACCTCCATTCAGTAGCTGGTCCTCACTGAGGCTACCCTGGCCCATCCCGAGGTGCCCCCCCAGTACATGGCTCCATCTGTTCCATAGGCGAGTAAACGAGACGGCCCGAGTAGGAAGAGCACTTTTAATGGCTACAGGACAGTGGAGAGTTTTACAGGAACAGAGAAAACAGAACTGAAGTGACAGCACAGGGAAGAGACGAGGCAAGTTAATACTCTTCTCCTTCGTCCTCGCCCTCAACGCTATCCGCCCCCACCTCTTCGTAATCCTTCTCTAGGGCAGCCATGTCCTCCCGCGCCTCCGAGAACTCGCCTTCCTCCATCCCCTCCCCTACGTACCAGTGAACAAAGGCACGCTTGGCATACATCAGGTCAAACTTGTGGTCCAGACGAGCCCAGGCCTCGGCAACAGCTGTTGTGTTGCTCAGCATGCACACAGCCCGCTGCACCTTGGCCAGGTCACCGCCAGGAACCACAGTGGGAGGCTGGTAGTTGATACCAACCTTGAAGCCAGTTGGGCACCAGTCCACAAACTGGATGCTACGCTTGGTTTTGATAGTGGCAATAGCAGCATTGACATCTTTGGGAACCACGTCCCCACGGTACAAC